TCAGGCAACTTGATTTAGATGTATGTCTTTAATATTGGAGAACGACTGTGTTGTTTTTGGAATTGTCTGAAATACAATACATAAAATAGTGATTTGCAGAACAAGAACCGGCCAATGAAAAATCGTCTATTGCCAATGCAATTGTTACAATCAGAACTCAAAAATTGGGAATATGCTTTGGCTCAAACTACAACCAAGATTTGGAGTCACAATAGAGTGTAAAATAGATAGATGCTTTCAAAAATAGAGATTATTTTTAGACAGGGCTAATATCAAACGGTAAAAAGACCATTTCCTTCATATTATGTCCAAAAGTATTTACTTCAAAGGTAGATAAAGTTCATTACAGTTTATGCACAGTTTTATTAGATACTGTCAAATTCACTTGTTTCAAACATGGGTGAATGTTGACAATGCAAAAAGTTAATGAGATAGATTAATGAGATCGATTAGAACCAACACAGATTCAAAAACATTTAAAAGCATTTTGGTGAATTTGGGTATAGCACAAAAGTAGATCTTTAGGTAGTTTTGAGAATTTTAAGAGCTGTCGATTTGTCAGCAACAGATTAGAGAATCAAAATACCGTTGTATAGGGACTAACCCCAGAGAAACCTGCTAAAATAGATTAGCTCCTGTACGGATAATACCAATTTGATTAACGATGTACATTTATCCCAAACGGTCTGAGAGAAGGAAGTGACAGCACTTCCTGGTTCAACAAAATGTATTTGGAAATGAGCAAAGCCCCACGAAATGGCCCAAAGCCACTGATAATGGAAGCAAACCACAGTATAGATAGATTTATTAGATAAAAACATATGTTTAAGAATATGGCTCAATAAAAGCAAAGATGCAAACATATTGGTAAATAGATTAGAATAGTTTAAACTATAGTGAATAGTTTTAGTGCATACATTACAGACGAGGTTGAAGAAGAATCAGAATGACAGCAGTGGTCATCAAAGAGTTTAGTGAAGGAATGTTTCAATGTGGTTGTGTGTTGTTTGTCTTCCTGTATTAACTCTTCACAGATATCGAGCCAGAACTAGGATGATGGAATCTCCCCAGTCCCGTCACCCAGAGAATATTGAAAGATTGTGACCTATTGGTTAATATAGGTCAAAAGAGGGACTGACGAATATTCACAAAATGCTGCACATCAGACAAAGGAATATGCACTCAGGAATCATAGAGATGACCAGCTTACAAAACCAGACAATTATTGACTCCAAGAATAAACAAATGCTCTCTCCCACTCTCGACGAGGGCAAAAGTCCAACACAATCAGGCGCCCAGTGGTGGGGGGCATTGTTTGCTCAGGTGGAGATGGAAGACCGGGTCCAGACCAGGACCAGGGGCCAGACCAGTCCCACAAGTGACGTCATCAGACGTCTTGATAAAAATGTTGGTTTGAGTTCTGGGGGGAAGGTTAGCGCAGGGGAAGAGGAGAGGGACATATTAGTTGTAGGAGCACTTTTTTGTTGAATATTCTGTATCTGATTGTAAAGATAATTAAATGCAGATGTTAAACTTGGATATCTTCATCTGATTTCTGTACCAAATTGTGGACACGTCAGCCAAAGGGAATTATTGGCTTCACTTTACAGAGGTGATGGTGGAGTCCATGAGAGCGGGGGGAGGGGGATAGGACTTGGAGCAGGGGATTAATAAAATGCACCTTTACCTCTCTCTGTGTGCTGTAAGCACTAAACACCCGCCACTGTGAATGCTGAAACACCCACCTACCCAATTTCTCTGGTTGGCTGAAGACTGGCTGAATGTTACTATACTTCAGTTTTTCGATGACAAACACAGTTTTTCGATGACAAAGTACAAGGAATCAAAAACACTATCACCTCCACAGCACGTATAACAATGCAACAGCCAGAGAAGCTTGTTGAGCTAACTCACTTTGCACCTGTGGATACTGAAACTGTCAAAAAGATAATCATGAGTCTGAGCTCCTCCACATGTAGCCTGGATATATTGCCCTCTAAATTTCTGAAGTCCGTCCTGAGCAGTTTGTTACCTTCACTGACACAAATAGTAAACATGTCTCTGTCGTCAGGAACATTTCCTATGGCCCTAAAAACAGCAGTCATAAGACCTCTCCTAAAAAAGAGCAGTCTGGATCCTGCGGGACTTCAAAATTATCGCCCCATATCGAATCTACCATTCATTGGAAAAATTCTTGAAAAAGTGGCCTCCCAACAACTTACTGAATTTTTAACAATGAATAATTCTTTTGATATGTTCCAGTCTGGGTTTAGACCCCACCACAGCACTGAGACCGCTCTAGTGAAGGTAACAAACGACATTCGACTTCACACTGATGCAGGTAAAGTCACAGTTTTGGTCATGTTAGATCTTAGTGCCGCGTTCGACACTGTCAACCATGAGATCCTCATGCAGAGACTGGAGGACTGGGTTGGTGTCACTGGCACAGCCCTAGACTGGTTTAGGTCTTACCTGGAGGATAGGAAGTACTTTGTGGAGATTGGAGACTGCGTCTCAGATCATGTGGCCCTGACCTGTGGAGTACCACAGGGGTCGATCCTGGGACCTCTCCTATTTAATCTCTACATGCTGCCGTTAGGTCAGTTAATACAAAGAAACAAAGTGTCCTACCACAATTACGCCGACGACACTCAGATCTATGTCTCACTGACTGCAGGAGAACATGGACCACTGGATTTGCTCCTTCACTGTATCCAACAGATCAGTGACTGGATGCAAAATAATTTCCTCCAGCTAAATGCAGACAAAACCGAAATCATTGTCTTTGGTCCCCAGAAACAAAGAGAGGGCGTCATTTGTCAACTTCAGTCTCTCTCCCTACTTCCTTCAGACAAGGTCAGAAATTTGGGGGTAATACTGGACTCAGACCTAAATTTCAATAGCCACATAAAATCAATAACATCAACAGCTTTTTACCATCTGAAGAACATTGCCAAAGTTAGAAATATAGTGTCCAGGGCAGACTTGGAGATTCTTGTCCATGCATTTGTCTCCAGTAGGTTAGACTACTGCAATGGCCTGCTTACAGGTCTGTCCAAACAGACCTGTAAGCAGCTGCAGTACATCCAAAATGCAGCAGCTAGAGTCCTGACAGGAACCAGGAAGTACGACCATATTAGTCCGGTCCTCAGGTCTCTGCACTGGCTTCCTGTGGCTCAAAGAATAGATTTTAAAACAGCTCTGCTTGTGTACAAGTCTCTCCATGGCCTTGCACCAGAATACATTAGTGACATGTTGGTGTCATATGAACCGGCCCGGACTCTGAGGAGCACAGGGACTGGCCTCCTGCTGGTGCCCAGAGTGAGAACCAAACATGGGGAGGCTGCGTTTCAGATCCATGCAGCTAAGATCTGGAACAATCTCCCTGAAAATGTGAGGGAGGCGTCTACTCTGTCAATGTTCAAATCCAGGTTAAAGACTGTTCTGTTTGCCTGTGCATACAACTGAAAGATTTTATCTCCATTTCTAATGCACTGTTGTCATTTTTTTTTTTTTTTTAATTTCTTGTGTAATTTTGAAAGTTTTAATGGTTTTATTCTTTTGTGTGATTTTAATGTTTTAATTGTGTTTTAATCTTTTGTGTGATTTTAATGTTTTAATTGTGATTCTGGTGTTTGTTTTATGTGATGATTTGTGATGTGGACTGTGAAGCGCTTTGTGTTGCCCTGTGTATGAAAGGCGCTCTACAAATAAACTTTGATTGATTGATTGACTTCAGCCAATAATTGCTGAGAGGCAATTTCATCCTCCCTTCTCTTATGACGACACGCGCACAAGTTCAATCATGAAGTTTAAAAAAAAGTTAATTGTGCGACTTGAGTAACGTGCAGTAATGGGGTGTCGGAAATGATAATCAGAATCATTTTTATTGCCACGTAAGTAAAGATAAATATTACTTGTTACTGAAAAAAGTAACGCCATTAGTAACGCCGTTCATTTCAATAAAGAAAGAGCGCAGTCCGGGATCCGATTGTTGAGCCAGGTCTCAGTGAAACAGAGGACACATGATGAGGAAAAGTCTCTGTTCTTAGTGATCAGCAGGGAGAGTTCGTCCATCTTATTGCCCACTGAGCGTACGTTGGAAAAGAAAATTCCGGGGAGTGCCGTGTGCGCGCCCCTTTTCCTCAGTCGCACCAAACACACCGCTACGCTTCCCTCTCCTACGGGGTTTCACTTTTTTGGCTAAAACATGAACCAAGTCAGCTGCAGACGCCAGGAAAGCAGGCAGTCAGTCTACGGGGATGGTGGGTCTAATGTTCAGGAGCTCCTCACGGGTGTAGGAGCAGGCAGAGACACTATTAAAGCAGAGAAAAACGAAAAAGAGCGCGCCAAAGAGCCGAGGCGACCGTGTGAGGCGCCATCTTGATGAAAAATGCAGGGCCTTTATCCCCACCGCTGTCAAACTGTACAACAAGTCACTTAAGTCACTGCATTAAGACTGAAAAACCTGCACTACTATTGACACTTTCTTGATTGCCACTTTTTAATTTGCCACTTTATTATACATAATATATTCTGCATATTTGCACATTTTTCTTTTGCACAATCTTGAGTGTTTCTATTCATACCAGATGTGACATGTACATTTCTCCAGTGTGAGTTCAATAAAGCAAATCTTATTCATTCGAAAATAGGTGGTAAAACAAGTATTGAGTCATTTTTGATGAGGAACAATACTGTAAGATGGTTCTCCACCGACTCCCATTGATGACTGCTGTCGTTGTGTCCTTGGGCAAGACACTTAACCCCACTTTGCCCAAAGCCCCCACTGAAAGATCAAGGCTATGCTCACAGCCAGAGAGCAGCCGTCCTCCTGTGGACTCACCACCTGCAGAGGGTCAGTGAGGGGCTGGTGCTATGAGACTTGGGTGGCATCTCTGACTGCCACCCCCCTGACCCAGAAATGGATTAAAGGGTAGAAGATGGATGGATGGTTCAAATAATCAAACCCAATGGCTCAAAAAAGGCAAATAAGTGTATCACAGGGTGCATGTAAGTACCTTCATGGAATGGTTGCGTCCGTTGAAAGGCTCCGGCTGGGTGAAGAACTCCGTGCTGCGGTCCAGGCGCCCGTGCCCACCGTACATCTCCATATCAGAATCCAGCTTGATTTGGTATCTGCAGGAGAGGTGGGTTAAGGACTTCTAGCGGTGGGGAAAAGCAGATTAGTGGATGGCAACATGGCACCCAAGAGTGGAAGTTTTCATCACTCCTGCTTTGGGCGCGAGCAGGTTTTAGCCCTGTGCTCAGCAGCTTCAGCCCCCCGCCTAAATCCCCCTACATCCATCAGCCTTAAGAGAGCAGAGAAGCGACAGAGATGAGAAAATACTGCGTGCCATTTGCATAAACACAAAAGTGATGCAGCCATCCAGCGCGCCCCTCTAATTTACTGCATTCAGCGCAGAAATAATAAAATTAATCTGAAAAGTGATCCAAATGACTGACAGCGGGAGATGGCTCCAAAATTAGCTTCTTGGCGTCTCAGATACGCTCACAGTTATTGTTCAACACGCTGCAATATTAGGCCTCCAGCAGAGATACAGCTAAAAAATAATATTTCATGCAGACTAAAGAGATTTGGGCTTTGCTTGTGAGAAACAAAGGCAAAGTCAATTCAAAGTTAAGTTATGTAGTAAACAGTTATGCATAATTGTGTTAATCAGGTAGGTACAGTATATAGCCGGTAACGTTATACTATCACCTCTCACAGTTGTAATTAATATGCTTTAATATTGACAAAAGTTCTTGTCAAGATTTGTGAGCTAAACACAATGTAGTGGACCATGATGCCAAACAAAATCCAATGTTTATTTCAATTCAACAGCATTGCAGAAAGAACCCACACATTTTTCTTTTATTTTAATGACATCAATAATTGGACCTATCCGCTCTGTGAAGTATATGGCTATTATCTGTCAAAAGAACTATAACAATACAAAAACATCTGCACACATACATCCACAATTTTTTCAATTTCACAAAGTAGTAAAAGTCTTCCTTCTCACATGTTAACAGGAAAAACAGTCCAACACAAGATCTATAAACACAAGCGTATTATTTACAGTGGCTCTGTCCTTCCAAGGAATATCGTGGCAAACATAATTGGCTCGACGGATAATCAGCTTATCTTTGCATAGAGTGGAACTATGATCCTCAAACAGCCTGCGGTGAGCGGCAGGCCTTTGTTAGGCATTGTTAAAAACTGTTGTTTCCCTGAGAACCATAACTTTACAAATGCTAAGAGTATGACAAACTGAAGAAAAAAATATTTCAGCACTCATCATTGAGACAATATTTTTCAAATCGAGATGCTTCACAACATATAAACAGCTGCCAAGTACCTGATGGAATTATCTCAGTATCATGAGACTATGGTAAACAAAAGGTAGATTCCTTCTTTTTATTTGAACACAATTCATTGTCAATCATTTTGTAAGTCTTCCTTCCAATAACTTTTGAGGAAGACTACTTCGCTAGACTGTATTCCAACCACTGCGAAACAAAACCTCATATTCCCTTTTGATATACCTCAAACACAAATAGAATAGATACAAACAAAGAGATACAAACTGGACACTGCTAAACCCACCACCATTAACTCTTTACCCCTTGTGTTTGTCTAATGTCTGGACTTTGCTGCACTTTTGTATAAGAGTTTAGTAAATGCGATTTGTGTGTAAAGTTACAAGATACTCCAGAGACGGCAGATTACAGCAATATCTGCGCATGGAGCTGTGCCATGGATGTATTATATTATTAACGGGTACTTCCCCCATCAGCGATCACGTTTGCATAACTTTTATCCAATCACGGTTAATACGGTCAACTCAGGTCCGTGTGTACCCAAGCACTGTGTCCCCGCTCGTCAGTCCACGTTTAGCTCTTGTTTGGGTTATGACCGTCTTGTGTCCCCACGACCACTTTGCTGCTGTCTGATTGGTTGCACTTTAATGCACCTAGTGGCAACCCGTTTCCAAGCTTTCTGGAATATGTCCTAAACATCTTCCAATAACTATTGGAGCTCTGATGCAAAATAACTAATAGACGTGCCATTTTTGGCAAAAATAATGAATTGGAATTCCCCCGTTCCCCTTCAAACCCCACAATCTTTGTACGTCCTCACGTTCACTTGTGCTCGGCTTTGGCACCTGCAAATAGGCCCTAGTTACAGTAATCCAAACCTGGCAAACTTTTGAAGGAAGCCGGGGCCACACAAATTGGCAGTTGCCGGCCTTTTGAGCCATTACCTCTTTGTTAGCTGGTAACGGACGAGGGCAACAGCTTTCCCGCTCAGCTGTAAACTATTGTAATCGATACGGCCTTTGTGAATAAAATGCTGGGATGGAGGGGCGGTGAGGAGGGGGGGCAATTTAAGAAATGCAATCAATCATGTCCAATGAGCAGGAAAAAGGCTGTGGAGACTGATGGTTAGTTCGGCTGATGACCCGAAAACAATCTGCCGGCTGCAAGAGCCAATGCTTCTGCTCGTGTGCCCATCAGCACCTCTCCAGTGCGGAAGGATGGAAGCGCCCAATCTTTCCTATATGTAATATCCACTCTTAGGTCTAATAAAGTCATTACATTACAAACCAAATTTGTTTAACTGAATCTTCCTGCCTGTTAAGTGACACATGTAGCTTTAATTTTGGGTCTTAGAGGGGAAAAAAACCCATTAATGATTAATTTAATATGCTAAAATTAACAGTCATATCGAAATGCGTAGAGAACCAGGATTTCAGTGTATTTTTTAACCCCTAAAATACATACAGAAAAAACAACTGGTGCCCAAATATGTCAACCCCAGCCGCCACTGCTATTTTCCCTTTATATTTTTAACTGAATGTTATTTCACATTCTAAAACATGGACTGACAAAGTAAAGCCTCATTCATTCATTCATTTTCAACCCCTTTTTTAGTCCATTTCTGGGTCGGGGGGCTGACAATGAGAGCTGTGACCCAATGCTCATAACACCAGTCCCTCACTGATCCTCTGCAGGGGGTGGGTCCACAGGAAGATGGCTGCTACATCAGTGCTACATCAAGGACACAACGACAGCCGACAGTGGGAGCAGTTGGAGTAGAACCCATGACCTTCCAGCCCAAAAGCCAATGCTCTACCAACTGAGCTACTGTCGCCCCAAAGTACAAGAATACATCAAATTAATTGAGAGATACCACAATTTAAGGTATTATTTCCAAATGTATACATTAATTTAAAACTGACCCCATTTTAACCCTGTATTTACTCATTTGGATATTGCTAGTTTAACCAAATTGTTTATTGCCAACAGTTTGAAACCATGACAGACAAGAGCAACAGTTCATACAAAGTTTACGCCTCTTGACGGATGCATACGTCTTGAGAGAACATCTTTACAATGCCTTCATTACCACTGCGCATCATTATCCATCTCGTTTTATCTGCCTAACAGTGGATAATAGCAGACTTATTGCGTACATACTTGTCGGGTCTCTCCATCTGCGTTGTCAAAAGTTATTGTCCCTGGCGCTGGAATCGCTCTAAAGCACATTTAAGTAAAGTGGGAAGGAGAGACTGATGACCTGACACGATCGGAGACCGCCGGAGGGTGCTGTGCGAATCAAGGACCAATCTAGCTGACAGGTAGAGCTTTCATAAAGGAGGCTCCTACTGGGATTTCAAATTGTTGAAGAACCAGCCTGAAAAATGCGTCCACTTGAATAAAGGAAAAGAAAAAATATATATATGAAGAAAAAAAACAAAAAAAACATTGACGGCTTGAAAAGCTGACACTTACTGCATTTTAATGGGCGACAGCGAGGTACTTCTGGGTGTTCAGAGAAGAGAGAAAATAAGAGACAATGGGGAAGAAAGTAGTGTGATAAGAGGGTAGAGCGTGGCTTGTCAGAGATATGAAAAGGCCGAGCAGTGGGGACGGAGCCGCGGCAGGATGACGGCTATATCGTGATACACCTCTCTCCAGCTTACTCTTTAAAAGGAATGCATTTTTACATAGGAGTCGTAAGAAATTTTATTCCTTCATATGAATATCCTGACCGCCATTCATCTTTGATCGTGTGAGCTTAAGAAAAGGATAATACCTCAATCTATTTTAAAAACATTCTGAGTAATTAGTGCTGTCAAAATTATTGCGTTAGCGCACGATAATAATTTTTGTTTTGTTAATCACGCAAGAAAATTATTGCATTTGACACATGAATGACCCCCCATGCATCCCATAATAACATTCAAGTGCCACGGACACATGCGTGTGCAAGATGACGACGGAGCAGGTAGGCCCTCTGGGAATTCAAGAGCCCGCACCCTCCTGCAGCGTTCACGGCGAACGCCGCCGCCGTAACGTCATATCCCAGACCATACACGCACTGGACTATTCTCTGCTTGTTGTGTGTGTCTTTTCGTAACCTTTGCACTTAATAAATACACCGCTGAAGCTAGGACTATGGCGCCTCAGGGAGAGTCCGTCTCCTCCCGAAGCGCAACTAAACTTGCTAAATTAAAAATGGGGTATCTTATTTTCCCTTGCAGAACAAGTTCATGTTGGTTGTGCCCAAAGGGAAATTTTTTTGAGCAAATCAAGCAGATTGAATGACAGCCATTGGCTGACATTATGCATTTCAGACATTTTTGAAATGTCCCATTCTCATCCCTGTGACATGTCGGTGTAGTGACATGTTTAATAGTCTCTTGTAACGTATTGCACTTAATTTCAATTGTTGAAACGACATACATCCTCTACAGTATGCGCTTCCAAATACCACATAAACAACCTTGAAAAAAAATTGTTTTTTAGTCCCAGTCCAGGCCTGGATCAATTAGCATAGTTGAAGATAAGGGTATCGCTAACACATTGAGAGCAGCTTGCCTCGACCTCCTACAAGCAACCAGCAAGAGGATGTCTACTACAGAAAGACAGAATCTTTATAATGTTAATGCCATTTTATATGGATTTACTGTTATAATAAAACACAACCTCTCCACCCACCTGGAGAGGGCAAGGCACCTTTTTCCGGTCGAAAAAGGTGCCTTGCCCTCTGCAGGTGGGTGGAGAGGTCCTTCCTCAAGTGGAGGAGTTCAAGTATCTCGGGGTCTTGTTCACGAGTAAGGGAAGAATGG